CGACAGGTCCTGGAACACAGGCACACATTTAGACGTCCGGCAATAGTTGTGTTCCTGGACCTAAAGGCGGCATTCGACTCAGTGGATCGTGAGGTTCTGTGGCGGTGTCTGTCATTGAAAGGTGTACCAAAGAAGTACATTAACCTTATACAAGCTCTCTACTCGAACACCACTGGTCGGGTGAGAGCATATGGCGAACTGTCATCTGAATTCTCTACATCAAGTGGTGTCCGTCAGGGCTGCCCGCTCTCTCCATTCTTGTTCAACTTTGTCGTAGACATCCTCTTAGAGTTAACATTAAGCTCGTCAGATTTTTCAGGTGTTGACCTTCTACCAGGAAAATCGCTTTCTGATCTAGAATATGCCGATGACATAGTTCTATTCGGTGAAGACGCTGACAAAATTCAGAGTCTTCTGACTACCATAAGCAACAATGAAAGAATGTTCGGGATGCGGTTTCCGCCCCCCCCCCCAGAAATGCAAAATGTTGCTTCAAGATTGGGTCGCTTCGGCACCTGAACTAGTGATAGGGAGTGAAGTAGTCGAGCGTGTAGATCACTTCACTTATCTGGGGAGTCTCATCAGTGCTGACGGTCTGGTGACTGACGAAATCTCAGCTCGGATACAGAAAGGTCGATTGGCTTTTGCCAACCTGCGTCACTTATGGCGTAGGCGTGATATCCGTTCGCTAACCAAAGGGCGGGTGTACTGCGCAACAGTTCGTTCCGTTCTCTTATATGGCTGTGAAACATGGCCGTTAAGAGTAGAAGATGTTCGTAGGTTACTAGTATTCGATCATAGATGTTTAAGAAGCATTGCTCGTATATCGTGGGACAGCCGAGTAAGCAATGCTGTCGTTAGGAAACGAGTACTAGGTAAGGATGGCAGATCAATCGATGAAGTGGTGAAACTTCATCAGTTGAGGTGGTTGGGACATGTGTTACATATAGCCAACCACCGACTGCCTCGACGAGCTATGTTTTGTGGTGTAGGAGTAGGTTGGAAGAAAGCTAGGGGCGGCCAGACCAAAACATGGCACAAATCCATGAAGTCACTGACAAGTGGACTGAGTCATGTTGGTAGATGTAGACTGCCTGGTTGGGGTCTGCGAGACGAAAGTCATCAATGGTTAGAGACCTTGAATGACATGGCTCAAAATCGTTTGCAATGGCGCAGGTGCATCCACTCTTTGAGCTCTCTCAAATCCTAATCTTCTGGATTAGCCAGCACTTCTACCTTTGTCTTTCTAACCTTATCTCACTGAATTATATTTTTTGAATAATATCTTCAAACCTTAGTCTTCTTTATTAACATTGATACCTCTACCATCTTTATCACCATGGGATTTGATTTGACATTTGCGTCTCTGTGCTAATAATGTGGTATGGCAACATGAACTTATGTACATACGTACGAAGTTCTACGTTGCAACTCACTGACAGTGTTGGGGATGTTAGATCCCCAAAATTCGCTTGATAATGCCGTATTTCGGTTTTCACGTTCGCCAGCAGGGGCTGATCGAATGACCTTGAGATTTCAATTCCCACCAGGAAAATCAATGGCTGTGATTGGCTACAGTGTATTTTAGTATGCTATTTTCTTAACTGTCTCAAGGACGTTGTTATGTTGTATAAATAAACGAGAGTTGTATGCTTGATTGTACTGGGATTGCCGGGAGCTTGTAGAATATACTTCTACGCCTACAAAGACATCTATTTCGATTCTGGGATTCAGGGTAGCCTTCCTGGAAGCTGGTAAAGTCTCGTTCGCGTTTATCGACTAAGGTAACTCGTAATAGCCTCAAGCATCCTAAGTGCCGAACATATCAGACTGACTGATTTATAATCTATTCTGATTCTTTTGTCTATTCGAATTTTTTTCCTGTTATGCCATCAACTGACAATTGTTATTCAACACTACATGAATTCCACTAGCTATTGATCTGTTGTTCACAGAAGTTGTGTACAGAATAAATTATTATTCGGTCACACTCAACAACCCCAGCCACGAAAAGTCAATGAGTAGTAGGACTTCCGTGAAAGTGGCTATATACGCGTGAACATATGAGAACATTTAGTGAGGCAGAGCGAACTCTCTCTATTCTCGTTTATTCCAAGGCATTTGGGGACATTTGATCCATAAAATCTAATGATTCGCTATATTTGTGTCGTTCAGTGATGAGAAATGATACAATAATGATGACATCCGACTCCGAATCCTTACTCGAATGTGAGCCCGTTATCGAAAGCAAGAATAACTAGCCACTGAAATATATTTTTATCCTTGTAATATTCCATGTTCATATACAGAATATTAATCATAACTAAATGTTATATGGTGAAATTTAGGAAACTGTAAAAGATGACAATTTTTATAGCTTATTAAAGAGCTATTTCTCTTCAACTGATAAGTCACAAAAATTTGTTTGCTTTTACGACTATGGCAAATCAATATGAGCCTTATTGATTTTCTTTCTTTTTTTTTCTACTTTTTTCTTTTTTAGTTGGTCATTTGGTATATTGTTATGGGAAATATTTACACTTGGTTCAACACCATATCCAAATATTAATTTAACTCAAATTATTCAATCTATTCAATCAGGTGTACGTAATAAAAAACCATTATTAGCATCAAATGCAATTTATGAACTAATGTGTAATTGTTGTTGGCAATTAGATCCAACAAAAAGATTATCATTTTCAGAATTAGTCAACTTATTAGAATTACAAATAAATGAACATGAAGGTAGTGAAACTACATCAGGTATATCAACAGATCATAATGATGAAGATAATCATCAACAATGTAATAATGATTTATCAATCAGTATCATTGATAATAATAATAATAATAATAATAATAATAATAATAATAATAATAATGATAAAGCCTTCGATATGGATATTTGTAGTATTGTAAATGAATATGATAGTTTTGATTCATTTGATGAAGATATTAATCAATCTATTTTATCCACAACAAATAAAACTTATCATAATTCAACATTAACAACAGTTTATTGTGAAATGAAAGCTTAATAGTAATAGGTACTCTACTACTATTTATCATGCATATACATTGTATAATCGCAAACAAACACATGAAATATAAGATAAAAAAAATATCTATATATATTTTTATGTACAATTGTGAATATTTGTCTTAGCCTGCATTTTTTTGTAGATTTATCATTTTTGTATTCATCGCTATCATAAGTGTTCTCATCCAATTCATAAAAATCATTTTTCTCTAAACTATTTGTTTTGTTTTTTTCATGCTTATTGAGATTGTACGTTGAAACTTGTGACTAGATTAGTCGAATAGAGATAGTCTATGCTGTTTGATCACGTTAACACTAGAATTAAGCTAATTAAATGCTCAACAGAGAAAAAAAATTATCATTTTAGTTTTTCGATTGATCTGACGGTTCACCATCTTAAATGTCTTATCGCTTCATTTGGCTTACGCTACCCCTTACCAACATATCAGTAAATCTAAATGAATCGAACAATGGTTTAGTGGTTAGGGCGTTCAACTTTCAGCCATAATTTTTATAAATTTGTTAAACCGTCGTCTATGTATTCATGAACTCGTTATGAGTAGTGCTTATTTTTGCTTATGTTGTGTGTTTTGTTGTTGTTGTTGGCACTTCTCAACATACAATTTCTGTAAATCGGTCAAAAGTGCAATGCATAAGTTATTTCATTTAATTTCAGTTTCATGCCGGGGACAATTTATCAAAGCTCATGACCAAACATTTATTTCACCATTCTGGATTTAGCCTACAAACATAAATGAATACGTAAAAGATACCACACAGTTAATATATTTTCATCTGAGCATAAAGTATATCTTTCATCGATTATTTATGCTCACACCTTTAAACAATACACTATTCAGAAATGCTTTATGTCAATGAAACTCGAAATCACATCGTTCAGTGTGTGTTAGTGTCAAACATTTAGTCCAATGAACACTACTCTAATGTTCAGAATACCTCCACCATTTTTTTTTTAGAATAAATTATTGATGGTTCGGTTTTAGAGAAAAAAAATCATGTCTTTGTACTTTTATTTCGTAAACAAAAAGTTCTTATATGGACAGTAAATCATCACATACCTAATGAGATAAAAATTACTGCAAATTATTATCCATATGACGACTATCTCCTATTTAATAAAATGTACATTTATCTTAATCTTACCAGCGCTTCTTGACTTTCTTCATGTGATGAATCACACGTATAACGTGTAGACCAAGTAAATATTGTTAATAAATAACTTGAACATGTTATTGAATAATATTGAATAGTCTATTGCCTATTGTCATAAAAGATCTTTAGTTTTTTAAAATAAACAATGATTATTCCAGGTAATTTATGTTACAATTCAAATGAAATGTTAACTATTTCATTTGATACGGATGAAATATTGTGATTACATGAAAATTACTTTTTGTTATAACGTGTTACAAATATAAGAAGATGAAATCGTTTAAGCTAAATTCTTTATGTACACATGACTAAAAAACATTTAAAAAAAGGTTATTTTTGATAATTAGAGTTAAATCATAGATGATTTTTCTATGAATTTATTGAGAATAATTAGTATTATTATAATGTGTTTCAGGAAATTGGAATCTCAGATCTATCTGATTGCATTCTAATAGCTAAGAGTGGACCAGCTTATGAAGACTAAAAAAAACGGTGAACGCATGTGAATGTAGAATGTATGAGTGAAATGATGACTTATCTAAAAAGAATTTTAGCATTTTTACACGAAAATGATTCTTCTTTATATATTTAATAGATAGAATATAACTAGTAGTGAAATCCAGGATGTGCGTATCGTCCTGTTTCGATACTCGTCAGCTGGATGTACCTGCATCTCAGAGTTGATGTATGCTCCAGGACTTGAACCTAGTACCGTTAACTCCAAAGGTCATCGCGTGATCCACCTATCTACTGAGTCCAGATAGCCACTGGCTTGTGTAACGGGTATGAGTTTCAATTTAATTCGAAGTGACACAGGGTTCGAGTCCCGGAGTAAGCATCAACTCTGAAATTCAGGTACATCCAGCTAACGAGTCCCGAATAGAACTAAAGGTGCATCCTAGATTCTACTGATAGTCACATTTAATTCAGTGCAAACTTGTATCATGATGGCTACATCGAGGCAATCCATATAGGATGCCGATATAACAAGGGAGATTGATTAAATTTGAGTGGCCACTATCACCAATGAGATGATCCAAACCATTTCAAATGGAAATAATTCTTTAAAATTTAATAAAAAAGAAATCAATTAGATAATTCAAAATAGCTTTAACTGATGAACTCAACTAATATTTGAAGCTGAAATGTTTTAGTTATGGGAATGTAAGTAAGATGCAGACGACAGTTGGATTTTCTACCTCAATCGATAAAACACAGAATCAATTACATTATGGTTACTTTTTTAAAGTCTTAACATGATCCAACTTAATTTTCAGTTCCAATAATGACAAATGGATACAAATAGATATGCTTATCTGAATGAGATTATCTTACTTTTATTAAACCTGTAAGTCTTTACATAGATTTGGTCAATAATTGATCCTAATAATGTGACAGGGTCACTTTTTCGATTAATTTGAGTGCTAGTTATGTCTCAGAACAAAACATCAGTTTAATCAAGCTAAATTTTTCCTTGTAATTAGATTTCATTAACTATTCAGAATCCATTGATATTTTGTTTGAAGTAAAAGTATATTTTGGAAAATGTAACCCTTAATTTTTTGTTTCACTTATGAGGAAGCCTAAAGCTTTTGAAAGATAATATCTATTACCTTTAATATGAATGAACTGAAACCTCAGAACTTGTTACTTTCATGGAAACAGTATTAATTGTAAGATATATCAAGTATGAAGTTCTGTGATTTCATGTCAAGAATTCTGGAATATCTAAGGTGAGAAAACTGATGCCAGTTTGTTTAAAATGAAAGACCAAAAGAAAAAGCCGTAAATATCTTTAGCCATTGTAACAAGATTCTCGTTCAAAATGAATGAACTACACAGAATTTGTTTTATTTTACAGAATAACGAATAAGAAATAAATTGTATTTAGAATTATAACAGGAATTATTGATTGTAGTAATGACAGTAATAAAACAAACTGTTTATAATCATAACGAAAAATATTCGAAAAGTAGGATGAAAAGTATTAGCTGTTTTATATGCAACGAAGAAAGAGAAGAAACTTTTATTATGAACTGGACAGTAATTGTAAATAAATGCGTAAGTAATTTAAAAGAACAAATTACTTGATCCATTCATCGATTATGTGATTAAATTATGATTTAGATGTTACAACCCACAAACTTGGATCGGGCTTAACTTTGACGTGAATTGTCTTTACTTTGCATGTTAGCTACTTGCTAATGAATTATTTTGATGTCATTATCTAAGTAATGTTGTGCTTGTTACGCCTACACGTAAACACGTCAACTTGATATACTTGAACTATTGCGAGTTTACCTAGTCGGAAAACGAGAGCGAGGATCCGGCGACACGACATGCTACTCAAGTCCGATTACCCCAACCCCCATATTGAGTAAAAGAAGACAAGACTTGATATGAAGTAGAACCTGTATTCTAAAAGCATCCAGAAAGTACGAGGTCCGAATCCAGAAGAGAATCAGGATCCGGGACCGGGTCCTGGTCCTGGTCATAAAACGTTACAGACAATGCGTATTTATACACTTTGGTCGAATGAGAAACAGCATCGAAGTCTGTGACATTGACAGTTAAGACGACCAATAGGAAGTAACATTTGAAGTGACGTTGATAGTCAGGACAACCAATAAGGAACAACATTGGAGCGCGTTACATTGATATATAAGACGACCATAAAATTGATCAGTAGGAATTAACCAATAGGAATTGACCGATAATTCTCTTAGGATATTGGATCAATATCCTAACAGTTCTATCTAGTATCTGTGATTCTATCTGGTTCATTGCTTGTTATAGCTGCTAGTCGGGCTATCCATATTTACATATTCAGGTAATAAGTGATTTATTCATCAACAAAACTGATCATGGTATTAATGAATTAGAATCAAGGACAATTCAATTAAGAAAATTTTCTTCACAGCGACATCATTTACTCAAGCTGTTCACTTGTATTAGCCACATAAAGTGAGAGCTTTCTAAACACATCTCCCAACATTATTTCGTATTGCTGTCGATTGGATTATGCAAAGCAATTAATAGTTCACTTTTGGAGCGTTTTGTCACCTCTGGTCTTACTGCTCCATCAGAGATATCCCTGAAAATTTATCTATACAGATCAACGATTTAATTGGAGAGAAGCGCTAATCAACAATAACTTGTGCACACTATACAAGTGTTAGCCATTTATCTTTTCAAACTGAAGAAATGTTCTCAACAACAACACGTTCAAGCTATCATTTTCTTTTATCATAGGCTGAACACTTAGTTTTTTGATGGATGGCAGTTTGGTTGTTAGTTCATCCTTCAAATGTCTTTTAATCATGTTATTTTTAATTATGTGTCATTATCGCTTTTGCGTTTTTTTATTTTGTTCTTCACCTTTCACAAAGATCAAATTTTTAAAATCACATTTAACTTGGTTAAAATTTTTGCATAAATTATTATTGTAAGAAGTTGACAGTTAATTTCATGAGGTTTTTTTTTTTTGAATTATCGATTTGTACTTTTACATTCAGTTGTACGTGATGTCTGATTGATAGTGTATCATGCTATAATAATAATAATAATTTGTGTGCAACTGTTAAAGTATACATTCATATTTTGAATTTTTTTTTTTTCAAGTTTATATTGTTTGACCTGTTTTTTTTTCTTTGCTTGACTCCTTCATGTAAGTTTTTTTTTTTAAAAAACCTTTGGACTAGTAAAAGTGGTTAAGTTTATAGAGAGATAAAGTTTGTGCAATTTGAAAATTTCTTGATTGTTTGTTATTATTCTCTACATGATATTCTTGACTATATTTGTTGGATAAACTCTTGGATTGATAAATTTACTGACAAACTTTTAAAAGATAAACAAGTAGAATTCTTATTTTGATATTCATTCAGAACAATAATATGAAGTTACAAAGCAAGAGAACATCAATAGGATAGATACTCTATTTAGCAAATATTTTATTTGTTGTGATGTAGATTCTACATTCATTATCTAAAGTTTGCAATTAACAAACTTACAGAAATGCTATTCATGTTATAACTGAATTTCTGTGGGCGTGGGAAGCCTGTTTGAATTACACGCTGAAAGCAGTATTAAGTCCATCAGTATTTCTTTTTGAATTTACTTCAGTTTATTGTTAATTTGATTGATTACTAACCTTCTTGAAACTGAAGAGTGTTAGATTTATGGAAATTTAAAAATTGGTTAGGAAGTTAGTGTTCCAAACATACAGTTTATTGTGCGTAATAAACCTATGACAGTATATTTATCTACTGAAGTTTTAACATTTTTACAATATTTTAGAAATTCTGAACATCACATCTCGAAAATAACTTCACTGAAACATGGGATTTTGATGAACTTTAACAAGTAATTTGGATCGTATTCAACTCTTAAGTAGTGTGTTGTCAAATAATCAGAAGAATAATATTTTGATCTTCATTACTAATTGAATTCCATTATTATTATTATCATTATCAACTAATTACCAGGTACAAATTGATGTATTTGGCCTTGAATCATACTTTAAGTATGAAGAATACTGATACTACCTTGTTGGTCGAGCCTAATTAGGTGGAGCGCGCGGTTGGAACCTACAACTTATTGGCTGAAAGTCAAACACCTTGACAACTGAGCTACCCAACCACAGCATTTTATTACCAATATAAACTTCTTATTCAGGTAAAATGAACTAAAGTTAATTGGTTTTGATATAGGGTAAGTAATATTTTCAAGCTTTCAGAGTGAAAAGATTCTGTCAACAGTGCAATTTCTAGGTGGCCTACTTGAAAATTTGAATTAGTTGTTTCTTAACATAAAAATATTTCAGCAGGTTACCTTATCCTGTTTGTTTTAACACTCCAATTATGTCTATTAATCGCATAATCTATTCAGGAGCATATATCAAATATTTACGAGCTATTGCTTAACAAGGTACGAAAAAGTACACTCTGAGACATTGCGGTGGCTGGTGATCTGCTGAGAAAAGAATGAACATCAATAAAATGTCGATTTCTGAACTGCTTACTTTCAATTGCCAAACACTAACTTCTTTCGTTAAAGAAAATTGCTGAAATATTCTGTGCTGATAATTCCATATTGTATTAAACAGACAATATTGAATTGTTCCCTTATTATTATTATGAACTGATTGATTGATTGATTGACTGATGAGTTTACTCTCGTCCGATAATGTTTCGGATGATGATATCAATAATTATGCTATTTAATGACTGTATGAATTTCGTGTTAATTTCTTCTGTAGATTATGAATTCGCATTTTGGCAAGACTCATACACTTATATCATGAAATAGAATATTATTGAACTATCTAAAGTTTCCGGTCAAGCTATTGCAGTGATCGTAACAAATTATAATGTTTAACATGCAGTACAGTACATTTAATTAATCATTTGCAAAATGGTGATGAGAACTGTTTTGTTGTACAACATTAAACATTGACTAAAATTTTAAAACAAACATTTGATTTTTATTCACTATAGATTAAAAATTTAATATTCACAATTACGTATGAAAATCTTGATAACCTTGAAGTGTGAATTGTGACCTCTGTAGAACAGTGCAACCCCAGGAATAAGGTGATGTTCTCTTCTGAAACCCAATAAACTGATAAAACCTTAGGAAATAGTAAACCTGGTTATGTCTTGTTAGTTTTAGATCTAACATTCATATTATTTCATAAGACTCTCCATTGACCATTAAAGATAATAACGGTTGTATAACTGACATCTTTTTATCCTTTAACGAAGGTATCCTGTGTTTGTAGATATTTCATATACTTTGATTGAAGTTTTTGCAACGAAAATACATCAAGTTGTGAACTTTTAAAAAGCCGGAAATACTAGACATTTCCTTGGAACTGAGCACCTAGGATACCACTCGAAATCGAACAAATAATTTAAAGGTCAGCAGTATGTCATACAGATATGATTCCCAATTGGAGAGTTTATATTTCTTAATGTTAGCTAGTAGATGCATATTACTTGGAAGCCCAATGTTTTTATATATGCAGTAGTTCTCTGGTCTATGAAACTCACTTTCAAATAACAGAAAACAGTTAACAAGTTGTTGTCACAATTTGATCAAGCTGTATGATTCTGTTAGAGTTATGGATATTAGTGTTTGTTGCACATTTTAATCATCAATCATTGTTAGACCACCATTAGAAACCTGGAAGCACTTGACAACCGTTTCGTCCTGGTATGGGACTCATCAGTAGTGCATATCCACGACTCCTGCATCTCGCAAGATTCGAAACCAGAACCTTCGGTCTTGTGTGCGGACGCCTCAGGAGTCGTGGATGCGCACTGCTGATGAGTCCCATACCAGGACGAAACGGCCATCCAGTGCTTCTGGGTTTCTAATGGGGATCTAACAATGATTGATTGATGATTTCAGTGTGCAACGAAGCTGTATTAGTCATACAATAATGATTTCGGTTTTTGTGATTAAATTGGAAATGAGTAGAGATTAGCGACATCGTTTTTAAAACGTAACATTAAAGTCAATCAATTGGATTTGATTACAATGCAAGTTTTCCATAGACGTACTTAGCCAATAACATAAAAATATCTTTAATTTTATTCGTTCAAATAAACAACATCCTAATTAACTGAATACTACTTATTTACTAATATTTTTTTTTCTAAACATGAAACGAAATCAAAACAAATTGTTTTACTTTAACTAAAAATATTCACTATACACACTAATTAGTTCATTTTCATATAAAAGGTAAACTAATCTGAAGTTAAGTTGATAGATTTCACACACAAAAAATAACTAAATCACTATTTTAAAACAAAAGACGATGACCTATCTAAAAGAAATCAGTGTTTGTGTGAAAATATAAAAAAAGTTTTGTTTGTTAAATTTTTCTAAAGAATAAACTAAAGAATTCAACCATTTCGAAGGATATTATACAAATGTACATGGATTTGTCTGATTAGAGCAATGAAATCACCATTGAATTTAATTTTTAAATGCTGTTGTAAAGAATTAGGAGCAAGTCAGCATTGATAAAGGGGATTTTATTGTCTGTTATACACTTTTCTTTGATATAAATAACTAAGATGATCTCATGCTACTACAGCATTCAACCAAATAATGCAATTGCATTAGCATGTATAAGACAAAATGGTTTTTGATCTCTCGTATGAAATGGTTTACCTTCAAGTGGTTTTTGACATGCAGAACAACTAAAACATCTTGCATGATATTGTTTTCCACATGCTGGAATAAAACGATCAATCTCTGTAATGGGCTGTTTACATTTAGCACATTCAATCTCATGAAATTGTTTCCAATGTTCTTCACATAATACACGATTATCATCTTCCATATGAAATAGATCATCTAATGGTTTTTGACAATAATAACAAACAAAACAATTTGGATGCCATGTTTGATTGATTGCTTTAATAATTTTACCAATAATTGGTAAATTACATTTGGCACATTTATATGCAATATATTGTTTGAAATCTTTTTCACAATATAATTTACCATTTTGTTCAGCGAAACTATCCTCGTTCAATGGTTGATGACAAAAATCACATATGAAATGATTTGGACAAAAGCATCGATTACCTGTATCAATAAATGGTCCGTGTATTTGTCTTTGACATGCATAACATACTGGATTAATTTTATAATCGTTTGAACGGAGAACTCCTGTTCTCTGTAAGAAATTATCCGGTTTTGTGTTCATTTGGATATGAGACTGTGATTGATTGATTGTAGGATATTTGGACATGTTATATAATGAATGGGATGATCTTAGAATTGCATTCTTTTGAAGTGTATTAATTGGTGATGTACTATTAGTTGTATTGGATTTTTCAGGCAGTATACGATTATGTACTGTAATTGAGTTAGGACTGTAGGATTTTATTGATATTCCATTAGGTGAATGAGAACAAGATATTGTTGGACTTGTACCAATATGAACAACTTTAGATATAACTGTTTGCGGTCCTGGTGATTCTATTGGTTTCTGAAGTTCAATGGTTAATGATGATTGTGTTACAGAAATATTCATTTTCTGAAATGGAGTAGAATAGCTAGCATTATTTGGTCCGTTTTCATATACTTCCATTTCCAGATCGTTACAACACCGTATTATTGCTTGAAGTGCTTGTTGGTGAGTCATTTTGCTTGTAGAATCGCGGCCAATCGATAAAACGCGCATTCCAGTACGTAAGCCACTGATATCTGCCAAACCTCCAGGGCTCACAGAGGATATACAAAGTGGCCTTTCAAAATCTCTTCCTCCTCGAATTCGAAATCCCCATGGGGAAGCAGAATCAGGTCTTGAAATGCGTATTAAAAATGACATTGTATTTACGAAACCTGTTGATAATATCAAAGCTGACAATAATTTATATTGCAACAAAATTCCCGGCTTTTATTGCTTTTATATTGTTTAACACAGATTGTGAAGTGTGGGTGTGTAATCCTTTCGATCATGCTGCTTGACAAGGTCATTAGTATGCGAACAAAATGTTTGATCACCAATCAGCTGTCTTGGTGACAGTTTCTTTCAGTTTTTCTTATTGGTTTAGAATTGATGTTCGATATGTACTTGAAATAAATTTTATTTTACATTACAATAATCTATTTTCCCCTGAATTCAGTTATTTTTCCTTAATTTTGTCATTATATGTTAATGTAATGAACAATTTTTATCACTGCAATCGTACCTCTAATAATTATTTTCAGTCAATAAAACTTGACTATACTGATAAAATTTTCAATAAATCTAATCATAGCTTTATTCAGTTATATACATAAATATTATGTCGAACCAGTACTACATATTCATTTTAATATGGGGAAGCATACAATGGAAATCTGAAAAAAGATAAATATTAAGCTCTCTTTTGAATAAAATAAATGTTAAAACTTACCCTCTCAATCCATATGTAGAATCTAGGTCATAGCTGACTTGAAAGGCTACAGACATCGAATATTCTTTGAACAATAATATAGATCTTATTCTAAGTATCAACTTCTCTCACCATCTTTCTTGTTGTCTGTTTAAGAACTCTCAAAGTGAATCAGTCTAAATACTTCATAACGGGAATAAAAACCTACAACATTTTGTCTAATGACGATGTGATTTTTGGATGTGGTTTTGTAAGCAATTGTGGGGTGTTTTGGAAAGCCAATAAATCATTATTGAACAGGCCTTTCATCTTCTTACTTAGCATCGTGGGAATAGCAGTGGTTTTCGAGTTTAGAAGTGGTGACTAATGAATCAACTCGACATCGATTATAAGAAAAATGGTGAACCATAAATCTAGTGTTTCTCATTATAAAAGAAGATACTAGTGGTCGCAGTTCATGGTCATAATATGTAGAGCGTATTCCCATGGTGCCTGAGATCATCTTAAATTAGTATTTACTTCTTCTATCCCTTTAGTAGAGTCATGTCATGGTTGATTAACTACTCAAAATATATACACTCAAAAGTATACGCAGAGACTTATACATAACAAAACACTCTTATCTTATAGGAGGTTCAGTGCGTGTAAAATCCATTTTGTGACTAATCATCGAGCTCACTTCAGGAAAGCTGGATATTCTCCATAATTTTATTGATTTCTACTGCCTGGGAATTGAAGTGTAGTAGATATCATACTCACAATCATATGGGGCTTGCAAAGCACTTCGATTGAAATGAATACCGATTTGCTAATTAGGATTGTCCAATTCCCTTTGGTAAAATTTATTTGATTCCATTAAGTAACGAGAGTGCTTATGAGTTAAACAGATCTACTAGCTTTGAACCTTTAAACTTGTTGAAATGAATTCTGTGTTTTTGATGTAGTGTTCTTCAATAACTATTAGATAATATTTTAATACAGTTGTAAACGCTAAGTGCGCCTTGTATGTTTACAAACAATTTTATGTCTTAGCAGGACTCAAAGTGAAATATCATTCGGTGGTACGTAGATATTTTTGGTTTCGGTTAAGTAATTATTCTTTAAAATTATATCCATCAATATCCAGTATCTTTGAGATGAGAGTGATGGTGAACCTCGTTATTTCACTTCACTTATATTTTGTTGTTTCTTTTGATAATATCTGGTGGGGGGGGGTTCTCTAGACACTAGACTGAACTAGTACTAGTCATTTCGATAGTTGAGACTATGGGAGCCCTACCAGCGTGTTAGTTACTCATCGGTTTATGCATCTAATTAGGAGAAGGTAAGAATATGTTATTCCGTTAAGGTTAGTTAAAAACTAATGGTAAGCTATTTAAAACTGGTTTCTGAAATAAGACCTTTTATTATCGCTGACACAACGAAATCAATAATTTCATATCATCCATGTGCTGGGCTAGCTATTTTCTACTCATTTTTTGTGGAAATTGTTAGGATAAACTTAAATTGTAAATAATTATTGTCATTATTAGTTATTTTTCACAATTCCATTCAATCTGTACAAACACTGTGTGTATGTGATCTATACATATAGACAAATGATATTCAGTAATAAGAAGAGTAATAGCACAATTAAATAGCATAATTTTTTAATGACACTAATAATAACGAGCTTCGTAACTAAGCACTCATTAAACCAAAAATCAACTTTGTCCAGAAATTGGAATTTATTTATTTAAATGTGAATGTGATGGTTAAGAAGGACAATGAGAGTAAAGTATACACTAGTGATAACTAAACAGCAAATAATCTGTAACTAAACGTGATTGTGTAAGCTAGGCAATTTGTATAATCTTTAGTCAGCTGAGTGTACATAACATTTAGGTCTGTTCATGATTCTTCCGGATCAAGTTGTAAACAAGTTGGCGTCATTTTTTGGTTTCTGTGATTCCATAAGATTGCTTATCTGACTTGACGATCTGTTATTCCTGTTAACTCAGAGCGAGGGCTTTAGTCTGTCTATCGAGACAGTTTCTTTACAAATATTTTCTTTAACGATGAAAGGTTACTGTGTTCTCGAACCAAGACAAATTTTTATGCTCTTAGATATATTTATCAATGTGCTCGTGATGGTGGTATTGGTTATAGCCACCGCATGATTTGCAGTAGTCCGCGTATTAATTTCTTTATCTCTCCTTGCTATTTTTCTCATGACTAATTAGTTGGCCTGGGAGCATTAAGACAGTTTCAGAAGCCAGTTCGATTGACGTGCATTCTGTCTTCACCAATCATTGATCATATTCCTGAGATTTAATGATAAAATCTTGCTCCAATACCGCTTAACAGGACAAGTTTAGTCATAGGCACCAAAATGTCTCTCTCCAGAATTCGAACCATAGATTAGATTTCACTTTTTAGGATGCAGTCTTTTGATTACAAGTAATTTCGCAAAAAGAGCACTGTAGCTTCCTGTCTTGTTATAGTCTAGCTTCCTAACTAGATACTAACACAGTGTACTTGTTAATCGTTGTGACAACTCTGTAGGCTTACCACAGTACTGAAGAAGTCCGACTACGATGATAATGATGTTAATTGTGTAATGGGACGAGTCGCAATCGACAATCATCACCACTGCAGGCAAATTACGTACCGATTACCAGGTTAGATCTCTCCGTAGAACCGAAACAACGAAGAAGATTGGATCCAAAAATGAATGTATATTTGTTGAAAATCTCGTGGTGTCTAATTAATATCGAGATGGTATCAAGGAATACAGATGAGACTACCGCGCATACGTGAGCAAGATAAAGGTCACAAAACAACTGAAAATGTGTGTTTTTGGTACAATTAAACAAAAAAGTGGAGTAAAACAATCACCGGTACAGTTGGTTATGATAAAAAGTGTTTCTGTTAAACCAATCGCGTTCCCTCCATAAAAGTAGATCACTTCAACAGCCCGCCGCTAGAAAGGGTTTACACATTCGATACGTAGCGGTTTCAATTGTGAGACTGATCGGCAAACATGCGGTTGTAGGACGGAAGAATGGACGAACCGTAAGTGATTATTGATGTTCCAGTTGTCACCGAAGGTCTTTTGCGAAGAACGGTACTATGGGTAACGTGCCGTATTTGTTGTTCGAGTTGGCCTACTGTTATGCTTGTCAACCGATATGCTTGAAACTGTAACGAGTTTACTTTAGTCAGTCAACGAGAGCGAAGACAAATAATCCAGTGACACCATAGGCTACTCTAATCCGAGCGTCCCAAGGCCACAGTAAGTAGAGGAAGAAGTCTTGACAGGGCGTAGAAAATCTGTTCCATAAGCACCCAGAAAATATGAGGTAAATTGCTAACCGTTGTCCGACTTAATCACATCTGGTATACCATTTCGAGAGAAAATTTCAGTGAGGAGCTGTATCGTTTTATTTGTCGTTGGGAGCATTACAGGGCTAATTTCTGGCCACTTTGAAAGGGCGTCGACCGCAACTAGACAAACAGTTCCATTAATCGAGCTCGCGAAGTTGACATGTATCCTGGACCAAGGGTGATCAGGTAGTGGACATGAAACCGTTGGAACTTTGGCATTCACCTTTGCCGCTTGCTGACACTGTATGCACTTTCCAGCCAACTCGGTGATATGTTAGTCCATTAGGGGCCAGTATGCATAGTTCCCGGCTATGGATTTCATTCATCTAACCCCCAAATGATCATGATGGTACTGTCTCAGTTCCGGGTCCCAACCAATTCAAAAAGGACAAAATTCTAGGAGAAAGCGTCTTTATTAATTAAAAAATGGAAATACAAAGCATTACCTGGAATTAATGCTCCTTCCAGGATACAATTACTCCGAAGAGTATCAGAAACAGTGATAGATAAGTGACGCTAAGTCCAGCGGCCACTGTATCAATCCAAATATGGCTGTAGCCATATTAAAGATCAAATTTAAACAACATATATACAGATCAGAAGCAGACACAAAAACTTCAATATAAGTACAAAATATAGAAATAATAACAATATACAATGATAAAATCTCAAATTGGAATCAAATAAAATACCAAAAATGTCAACAGAAAAAGTCCGTCATGTCATAGCAAAAATATGTAAACATGGAGGGATTTTCCAAAAAACAAAACATTCAAAAAGGATTCTACACCGACCCGCAAAATCCCTCCATGCAAAAAGAGCAAGCGTTAATGACACTTCTATTTAGGGTTCCCACTCATCCCCTAATCCACACCGGAAGAACGTGTAGGACTTACAGCAGTACGCCTACCCGCCATCCAACATGGATATGACCTATCATGCTAACTAGGTACCTATACTTTCCCATCAGGCCTTTGATTCCCCTATCTATCGTGGCATGACCTAACGGTAGTATAAACCTTACCCAATTAACCCACACGAACATGAACAACACATCGTAAAACTGGTCATATCCTATCCGGGA